TTTTTCTTGATTGATAAGATCATCATTATCTTCATTAAAAAATAGTCCTTCAACTTTCTTTTCTTCTTTGCTCCATCTCTAGTTTTCTGCTTCATCGAACTCAATATTTCTTGAAATTATTACCTTTTTGGTAAGAGGATTATACAGTATGTAGGCTTTACTTATCTCATCATAGCTGATGAAAATACATTTCTCTCCTCATCATCAAGCTTCTTTCTGATCTATTCAGGAACGTGGGCGTAAGCAATATACACAAAAGTCTTAAGGTGTCCAACTCTTGGTTTTTGACCATTCCATGCTTCATTTGGTGTCATGTACACACTTTTTGTTGGACATTAGTTCAACAGGTAAATTCCACATTGAACTGCTTTTGCCCAGAAATTTCTAGGTAGATGCTTGCCCGTTATCATGTTTCTTGCCATGTCAAGGATAGTGCGATTTTTTCTTTCTTCTACTCAATTTTATTAGGGTGTGAATCTTACTTTAGCTGATGGATAATTCCATGTTTTTTGCAAAAGTTTTCAAATAAATTTGATGTATACTCGCATTCTCTATCTAATATAAGTATCTTCAAATATTTGTTATTTTGCTTTTCCTCTATTGTTTTAAATTCTTTCAAACTTTCCAACGCTTCTTACTTCTTTCAAAATATAAACCCAACTTTTTATGCTAAAATCATCAATAAAAGTTAAGTAGTACATGTTACCTCCAAGTGATGGGATGTCAAAAGGACTAGCTATGTTAGTGTGCACAATTTCCAATTATCTTCCGGCTCTCCAAGATTTACCAACATCAAAACTTTGTTTATGTTGCTTTCCTTTAATACAATTCTCGCATAGTTGATTTGGAGGGTTAATTTGTGGCAGTCCTTTTCCCATACTTGTTTTCGATAATAACTTCAAGTCCGAAAATCCAAGATGTCCATATCTTAGGTGCCAGAGCCACAAATCATCTTTAATTACAGTCTTCATGCACTTGACTTCTCTTGACTCGATATCAATATTACAAAGGCGATTTTGAGTCATATCGACTTTGGCAATTAATTCTCCATCTTTTTTATGGAGATGGAGGGATTCTTCATCTCCACCTCCTATCCTTTTTCCAGAAGCTGTCCAATGTTGATGATATTGTTTTTCAAAGCAAGTACATAATAAACATAGAATATGTACTTTTTTCATCATTTTTTGAGTAATCATGACTTCGCCTTTTCATTTGATTTCTACATGCGAGTTATCACCAAAAGTTACTCGACCATGGATTGTTTCATTTAATTTCACGAACAGCTCCATTCGACCACACATGTGGTTGCTAACACAATTATCGAGATATTAAATATTTTTCAACTCTTTATTTCCTTTGTAAGTGAGGAATACTTGAGATTTTCAATTTTCTCTTCTTCAGTTGTTGCTACATTATTTCTTTCTTCTTGTTTGGGAGCTGATTTACACTCATAATTATAGCGACCATACTTTTTGTAATTATAACATTGTATCTTTGATTTATTTCCTTGTTGATATCTACCTCGACCTCAGCCTCTAAATTCTCGTCCACTATCTGATGTTTGGTCATTTTTACTTTTTTTAGCGATGACATATGATCGACCACCACATCCTCGTGCTCCTTGTCCGCCTTTATTTCTTCCACTGTAATTGCCACGATTTTATCGACCTTATGTGTAGTTGATGTTGTCTTTACCTTCGTTGACATTCATCTTACTTTGCAAGATTTGCTCTAAATTTTCAGTATCTTCATTTTGTTTAATCTTCTGCACATGGGCTTGAAGTGAACCCACAAGCTCGTTGATCGATATTTGAGATAAATCTTTCAATTCTTCGATTGCCACGACCACAACCACATAACCAAATTTTTGCATTAACGACCATAAAATCTTTTCAATTACTATAACCTTATTGAGCTATTTACCATTTCTTTTCATTTCTATTACCATCACTTTTACACGATTAACGTAGTCATCGATATTTTTCGTATTTTTCATTTTCAACATTTCAAACACAACTCACATTTTTCGCTTTTTCTGCACCTTAAAGAGATTTTTACAAAATCTCTCACGCTTGCTTTGCGGTGTTCGCATCAAATTTTCTTTCGAAAGTAGATTCATCTACTCCTTGAAAAATAAAAAACAATGCTCTTTTGTCTTTTTTAGGGATTCCTTCAATGCCCTATTTTCTTCATTGGTCAAAATTCCTTCTGTTGCTACATTTTCGGGCTTGACATAACCTTCCTCAATGATGTCCTAACAAAAGTCTTGGAAACCAAGTAACATCTTCACTTGAATACTCCAATTCTCATAATTCGTCTTTGTCAATTTTTGGATTTATGGTTGAATCATGTTGACCATCTTCTCCACCACGTTAAACTTGAACCAAACTCTGATATCACTTGTTGGAAGTGTGAATGTCACTCAGTAATTTTATAACTCACACACTATTATTAATATGAACCAAAATACAAATACGTTACAAACATTAGTTGCGGCTAGTTTACAAACACAACCCCGCTATCAAAGTTTTTATAAGCTTCACTATCTCTCGCATTTTTCTTCGTTTTCACTCACTTACTTATAAACCAATGCTAAGGACATATATTTATAAGGGTAATTAACCACCTAAATGAAAGATCTAGACATTGCCAAATTCTTCTTGTATTGCCGCATGAAGTTGCATGTCTTAATGAAATTCCATTTTCTTTAATTTGATGCCACGTTGCCTCTACCATCAACTCAATTGCCACATATTTGCTTTCCATTCTTACTTCTTAAGTAATTCAAGATCTTGCTTCATTAATCAAGAAACATATAGTTTTTGCCACCTTAATCTTGTCGACATATTGAGTCAAAAATCAAGTTTTACTTCTAATAGGAACACTCTTACTGTGTCGAGGGACATCAAGTTTTCAATAATCTTCATTCTCACTCTCCTTTGTTGTATCTAAAATCTAATACACACACCTCGTAGTAAAAATCTTTCTCTCGTCTCAACACAAACCTAATGAATCATTCCCTAAATTTTTTTCTCAAGTGGTCTAATAGTTGCAATCTTCCTCAAAGTCGTCTTCAGTAAAATGTCATTTAGCTAATTCTGATTGAGTTCCCTTTTTTATTTATTCGATTGGAGTGCTCATTTTTCTTCACTCTTGTACTTTTTCTTGTTTTATATCCAAATCTTAGACATCTTTTATCTTTCATTTTTTATGTCTCTCTTAGACATCTTTAATCAAGTAATCTTTATCAAAATTATACGATTCATTTTGATTTTTTTGGCTTTGAAAATAACTGATCCCTAATATTACTTGACAACTATATTCAGAGACTGATGCAAAATTTTATGTTAAAGGGAACAAACTTAAAATTTTAGGAGAGGGATAAATTTATAACATTTTAGAGAGGAGAAACTAGATTATCAATTAAAAATATAAAAAAAATTAAAATATATATTAATTTAAAATTTTCAAACAAAAAAATTACCCTAAGGGCGGATGCACTTGTATACCCATTATTGTTTTTTAGTATAACCACTGGTATCGATCTATGATCAACTAATCCAGATTGGATATTACAAAGGCGAGAGCGACCTTCCGGATTTAGTTGATCAACATTTCTATTGAGTATATTTTATTTTTACAACGAGAACAAGGCATATATGATCTATTGATTAGGTTATCGATATTAACTTAAAATGCACTTTTTATAAAGTTATTTTGTCTCAGGAGTCTCTTTTTTTCTGAAGCCCGTAAAGCAGCTAGAAATTCTTTCAAGAATATATTAAAAAGATCTTTAGAATTTTTAAAAATTATATATTTTTTAATCAGAAACTGAAACTTTTTTACCGAACATTCTCACCCTATCTGAAATTGTGAGAAGTTCAGCGTATCCTTTTCCTAAATCATAACATTCGACATATGTATACCAGAAAACTGTATAATCATAGTATCTTCCATTTGCTATAATCAATTTTCTTCTAAATATTTATTTTACCTTTTAATCAAAATTTAAAATTTAATACACAAGATAAAATAATATTTTTTTTCATAAAAAAACAATTGTTGCAGTTATAATTTGTTAAGGTATATGTACCTCTGTAGTCTGTCTCAAATCTGTCCCCCTCTGCACTATTCTCTGTGTTGTCTTCATTATTGAGCGGTTGGTTGACAATGGAGAATATACATATAATATATAACAATATTCAGCACCAGAGTCGAGACCATTAATCATAAATTAGTTGTTTTCATTCAACTAATTAAGATTCCAGCTTTAGAGTGAGGACACATATTTAAATAGCGAATCGTTATTCTAATAATGCCCGCTATATAATGAAAATTATTATTGTACGATTATGATATATGTAGTGATCATCATAATATATTGTATCTATTATGTCTGTAGTCGTAATAAACCTAATCGAAATCGTATTTACAATCCTAATTTAAATCTCTGAGTGAGGGCTTGTCATGATCATCACTTTTATTGAATGGTCGCTTTTGGCTTGTTTATTTTGTAGATCATTCACTAATCTACTCATTGCTCAACAAATCCAAACATTTTCCATTCAAAACAGAAAAAAATATGCATGAATCATATTCGTCAGTGATTCCAGCCACACTCCTGGATAATAAAATGGGAGATTTTGCAGAAACTCCAGATCATTTATTATATATATAGTACAATAATTGTGCCAGTCACGGGGGCTTCTTATTGACAATGCCACAGTCAATCATTCCACAAACAACCAAGAGAACTGATTTAGGTAGATTATGTAACTATATATTATACATAATCATAAAAAAAATGGAAAAGAAACAAATAAAGAGTGACTAGAGTGTATAGCATTCAACTAAGGAGAAGATTTCTGTGGTGAAGTAGATGCAGAAGCGGGGGGATACCAGGGAAAGGTGGGAAATGGATTGGGGGAAGAGGAAAAGGGAAGGCTGGTGGAGGTGGTGGTGACAGTGGAGTTAGTCCTGGAATTGGTGGAAGATGAAACCATGGTGCTGGTGGTGTAAAAGGTACTGGAGGAGGCTGGAAAGGGTTTGGAAATAGTGGTGCTGGAGGTGTTGGAGGAGGCTGGAAGGGGTTTGGAATTAGTGGAGCTGGAGGTGTATGAGGAGGCTGAAATGGATTTGGAATAAGAGGAGCTGATGGAGGCTGAAAGGGGTTTGGAATTAGTGGAGCTGGTGGAAGTTGAAAAAGATTTGGAATTAACGGAGCGGGTCGAAAAAATATTATTATTATTATTATTATTATTATTATTATTTATTATTATTATTATTAATTATCTTACATTTGTTTTTTGCAGTCCAACTACAAGCAATCCCCAACCCAAACCCAGATTACAGCTCGGGTAAAGCCCAACACCCAGATCTGACCCGAACCGGCCACCAACCCACTGCCAACACCTTGTTGTAGCCATCCCGTCCCCATGCCCTGCCACCAGCAGTAGCACCATTCCCTGCCATCACCAAATGCATCAACAAAATCAGTAGAGATTTTTTTTGTTGTTTATAATTTGTAACAGGGTATAAAACCCAATGAACCAAGCATGTAAAAAGAAGTTTTGATCAGCAATCAAAACAAGAATTCTCAGCAATAAATTTTTTTCAGCAATTGAAAATACAAAGAGAAAGAGACATTTTATTTTTTCGGTTTATCAGTTCAATTAATTGGATTACTATAAAAAAAAGTATAGTTTAGTTTCTAGTTTAGTTTTTAGTGTTATTTGAATTTCAGAGTTTTAAAAATTAAAAGATAAGGGAGTTAGAAACTTAGCTTGTTGTCGGGGTTCAACCAGTACCAAGGTGTCGTTTGGAGGTAAATCAGAGTCGGACTAGTTCGGTTTAGGTTGAACGACCATCGCGTATGGTGGTCGTTCGTTACCCGGTTCTAGATCGAAGAAAAGAGATGGCTAAGAAAGATGAGGGGCTGTCCTCGTGTGTTCCCTACGCCGTTTGTTGGTCTAGGCCGGAGTGGAATGGCCACCCATATAGGGCGGCCGAGGCGTCGCTGACTCCGCTGCATCAGAGGGTCAGCTGTCGTGATGGTCTCTGCACGAGTGTAGAGAAGGGAAGAGTGTTTGGAGGGCATAATGAAGAAAAGAGGGGAGAAGTTATCTCATTTTGAGATTGTTGGGAAAACCACGCTAAGGTCCTTGAACCTTTAGCATGTTTTGTGTTTCAGTAACCAAATAGTGGGTTTATTACGTATAGGTCCCCTACTTTAGGAACCCCATAGTGTCCTGGTCACTAAATTAAGGTATAACTGTGTTTAGGTCCTCACATTTCTGGTGCATTTTGCATTTTAGTAATCTGTTGCAGGGGAAAATCATTTTTAGGTCCCCAAGATTAGTTGTGTTCTCATTTTTTAGTCACTAGACATGTCATTTTGGTATTTCTTTGATTTATGTATCTTATTTCTATTTTATTTTAGTTTAGTCACATTCTGATATGCCATTTATTCGAATATAGCTAATGAACTTTACTTTATTTTGTTGTAGTCACTAATGGAATTTATTTTCTTGTGATTTGGGCATGTAATTGTTATTTTATTTATTTTGGTCCTCGCTACTGACATGTATATGATTATATTCTTGCTCTTCAATATATGTTTCCTATTTTAATTAGTTTTAATTCCCAGTAAAATATGTTTATTTATTTATTTTATTTATTTTATTTTAATGCCTATATTTCAGAATAGATATTTATGTATGTATAGGATTATATACCTTTTTTTTACGATTCTTTTCTCTTGTTTACATTAAGGCTATGTAATTTATCTTTTGTTATTTAATCACTTTACAAGGCATGTTTTAAATCTATGAGAACTTTGGTTTGTCCTGATTGTAAATTAGTCTTTTTTATCCCTCATATTTTGTACGTTTTTATATACGTTATATTACTATAAAGTATTTGCTATAGTTTTAAGTAGATATATGTATGTAATAATATATTCTATTTACTACACGTATGTTCCCTTTTTGCATTGGTATTTATTTTATTTATTTTATAATTAAATATTTGTTGATTTATAAAATACTTATTTTTCTTCAATTATATTCTAAATTTTATTCGAATATTTTCAAGAACAACGATTTGTAGAATGAGCGTGGAAAGTATCACTTGATCGAAGTGGTACAATCTAATACGACATTCGAACAAATACCAACTTGAAATAAATCAATTTTATTCTACTAATTAATTAATTTATTTTACTGATACAATAAGTGTTATTTTTATTCACAATTTATTTCATTGTATGCGAATGCAAATTGTCAATTTTTATTTATATTCGATTCGTATATTTATTAATGAGGGAATATTATTTTATTGATAAAAAATAGTCGAGTTAGCTTTCTCGATGGAGGATTGCTAATGTCGATATTTCTTTTCAAGTTAAAGAATTTTTTGTAATTAATTAATTCGAAGCAAATTAAACAATGTTCAATAAACATATCATCTTTTAACTTTATATTTGATTTGTAATTTCCACCATTACGACAATGTGTAAGCGACACAGTACCAGTTTTTTAGGCATTCTGGGGGTGCTAATCCTTCCCCACACGTAACCGACTTATGAACTCGTTTTAATCGAATCTTTGATGATGCAGACCGATTTTGTCTTATAAAATGATTTTTCTTAAAGTTATTTTAAAAGACCTTTTTAGGTATTCGACCTACCTAACACAAAGGTCGATGACGACTCATTTTTCAATTTAATTCAAATTAAGTCCAAATCACCAATTTTTCCAAATAAAAGTCATTATCGTTTTTAAAATATATTTAATTGTTTTATCAAAAAAATGGTTATGATAGCTTGGCGACTCCATTGAGAATTTTTTAAGAGAGTCAGGTTGTAAGTCGCTTACACATTGTCGACTTCGTGGAAATTATTAATTCGAGTCTTTAGTTAACTTGTGATCCGTTTATTGAGGTTTTAAATTGCTTCATTTTTAATTATCATACTAACATTTTTTGCTTTCAAATATGTTTAAGTTTTTGTCGAGTTTTTTTCTCTTTTCCGTTTTTGAGTTAAAGGTAGGTACGATCCTCCCACACACATTACTGGCATTGGCATAACATGAGCTCTAGACACGTGCTTCGATCCAAATTAGTCTGGGTGAATACTTTACTCTCGTAAGAATTTATTCTTCATATGAGTTTTAGCAAATAACCCATGGGATACATACCATATACCTTCGTAGGGATTTATTCCTCGTATGGGTATAAGGCAGTGAATCCCCTCGAATTGAACTCGTTCCGTTCTAAACCTATAATGGGTTAGGATCGACGGTCTGGCAGCCCAATGGGACACCAACATCAAGGACAATTCGAGCACACTTTTCTTGTTAAAGTCGAAACCATGCATATAGTGAACCATAGAAAGGTCACCCTATGTATAGTTATACCGAACCTCTATCAGTCAGTAGGTACCCAAAATAAGTGTATATAAAGGAGGAGTGTTTCTGAACCTTTCCTTTTTGCTTTAAATTATGTTAAATAAAAGCATGTGAACTAGATATTATACGGTTAGGACCATTTTTTTGAAAATAGATCATTGTGGGTAGAAAGCATGTCCGGGTAGGATTGTTATCTATTGAAAGCATTTTCGGGTAGATATCATGACGGGGTAGGTGTTATATTCATCTCTGAATAAAATTTTTATCTGTATCAATTATTTTACATGTACTAACTCATTTTTCTTTTTTGTTTGTGTTACTAACTCATTTTTTTCCTCTCTTTTGTTTATGTCATTTTGTTATCATTTTTTTTCATTGCATTGCATCGTCATAATGCAAAAGTGTTGATCAGCAAGGGGATATTCATGAGAAAATTTTCACAAGAAGAGGTAAAAGTTTTCAATCAAACAATCGCATACACGGACATGCACCGAGGGCTAAAAGAAATCCAAAATACAAGAATGAGACTTGCTCGAAGATCGTGCAACATTCAAGACTAAAATAATGATCCACTGATTCGAGGAGTAATCCAACAGTGGAGTCTTATCTATAATCATGTCATCGCTAGTCATCAAGGATCGACTCACTGGCTTCAACACCGTCGAGGTATTAACGGAGTTAGTTTACAGAGCATTGAGGGGCATCAGTTCCACATACGAAGATACGAGATGAAGCAGTGAGCTCGAAGATCGTACAACATTCGAGACTGAAATGATGATCCATTGAGCCAAAAAGTAGGCTAGTAGTAGATTTTCATCTATAATCATTTTATCGCTAGTCATCAAGGAGCGACGCACCGACGGGGCATTAACGGAGTCAGGTTATAGAGCGCTTAAGGGGCATCAGTTCCAAGGAAGAAGATCCGAGACGAAAGAGTGATCTACTTCAGACTCAATACCGAAGCGTAAGTCATGTCTGTAAAGTGGACTGTCTTGTAATGTGAACTTTTTTATCTCTGGTGAAAATTGTTCTAAAATATTCATCGTTGGGATCAACATTTTTGCATTTGCATTTTCATCATTGCATTTTACACAACATTCATTTAAGCATTTTTACATGCATTAATCATATATTATGGGAAACTTTGAGGAAACACCTCTAATTGTGCAACTGTATTCACACAGTACTGATAATTGATGCAAAATTTGAGCAACTGAAGAAAGAGCTGGAAGAGAGTTTGCAAAAGATGCAAGTAGAATGGGAAGTTAAAATGGAGCAGGCGCAAAAGGCCACTATGGATCGTATCTTGCAAAATCAAAGCAACCTAATGTATCAAATGGTAGAAAAATTGGATGGGCTCAACCAAGAAAGAGGCAAAGAGAAGATTTCCTCGACTAGAGGAACCTCCGAATGTGTGATAGCCCGTGCTAATCCCTAAATAATTATTTCACCCCATAAGCTTCCAATCCGCCAAGTAGGCTTCTCAGCTACTAAAGCTCGTATAAATGTGATAAATCCTAAGGGTAATTTTAATAATCACAACATGCCAAATTCTGATAAGATGAGAGGAGCCAATAACGAGATCCCAGAGAATCTAAAATAGTGGTACAGAGAGACATTCCAGGGAATGAGAGGACAGAGCTATCACTACGAAATGGATGCAAGATAATTAGTACTAGTTCCTAACTTGGTGTTTCCGCCCAAATTCAAGATGCCCAACTTTGAAAAATATAGTGGAATCAATTACCTTAATGTCCATCTTATGATGTTTATTCGAAGAATAAATAGGTA